CACTTCCCTCCAGTGGTTGTTTCTCGTCCAGTTATTGCCTTCGGCTTATAATTACTTAGCTTGCATATATTGAAACTCCATAATGATATTTAGCTTCTTAGTAGATGATTGAATACGATCGCGTAGTGGAGATTATTCCCAGTTGATCCGTCGCCAAGGCAACTGCTTCTGTCGCGACGCCATCTACGACAGCAACGCCAAACTGTTTTGATGGAAACAGCGGGGATATTCATTGTAATTGATGGCGGACACGTTCAGTCTTTAAAAACTGAACGCCCTGAGATTTTATATGAACTCGTTACGAGCACAATTTACAATCAACGAACACCTGATACGGATCCTCAGCAGAATGCTGTGTCGTTTCCAAGAAATGAGTTGCAGTCCTCTATTTATTTGCCCGCTTGCAGTTACCATGTAATAAATATATACAGCAGGTAACTTTATTAGTTAATAATTTTACATGTTCTAACTATTTAAAGAGTAATATTTGATCTATCCTGAGGGGAAAAGTCGGCTTAAACAATGTACTAAAAGCGCAGAATTCGACTTTCCTCTACGATGTTAACTCCTTGTCGAGTTCTACTAAATTATACATGACTCAAGTTGTTATGTTCAGTGGCTATAATATGACTCACAACAAGACGCGATAAACCTATGACAATTTTTCGGCAGCTAATACTTGTTTTGGTCCAGCAAGCCTTCCTTTTCAAAGGGCCTGCAGAGACCTCAGCATGGCTTCTCTCCGATAGAACCATTTGTCCGTGCTTGTTGTAGTAAGACATAACCTTTACAGTATTGTTATTAACAAGAAACGACAAATAGTTCCCGGTTGCTATCGTATTTGAAATAAATCATTGCTCAATGATTAACCTGTACAGGAGAAAAAGGGGGGCCAGACCCTGTTCAACGTGAATCTTCATAATAATGATTTCTCTATCACGCTAACAAAACCAAGCGACGTTTTAAACAGCACATAAAATACGGTGTTTCAATAGGCCAACGATCGAAATGACAATGATAACAATTACGTTTTGCCATCCGGCGCGCAGTTTCAAACGTGTACACGAACACAACAGGTATCGGAGAGAGCACTACGTGCGTAGAGTGTTTGGTCTTCTTTCTTGGACAATAGCAAGCAGGCTGCCCGACTGGGACATCCGTCATTTTTTCCCTATTGAACAAAGAATCGCTGCGATCGAACAATGTCAGATATTTTCCATATTTTTTAGTCACATAGGTAGTAACGCGTTGCGGCTGCGCGCCGCCTGTAGGTGTGAATATAGATAAGCGTATCTGATACCGTCGACTGTTGACCTGTTAATAGTATAGCTAATTGCACTGTGACTCGGTGCGTATGTATCGGTAACAATACTTATAACGGCGGCTGCTATGAACAGATTAAGGGTAGCGTTAGCAAGATTGGTGCGTGTACCGTTTGTCGTTGAGACACGCCACGAGACCAATCGTAGCTGGGATAAGCCGAGAAATATATAGAAAACGCTTCCTATAATGATAGACCATGTAAGCGTTTGTGATTGAGTCACGTAAAATTTGGTGTGCCACGAATATCTTGTGGTAGATCTATCCATAGGTTACGATAGTGTTCAGCTTCCGAAGGTCGTTACGCATTCGTAGGAAGCTTACCGCTTTCGAGGATACATAGCTGAATACTTAATGGATATGTGATCGCTACGGTGGTTGTTACAATGCCACATTGGAAATATGGTTTCGGGAGGCATAGTGTAGCGTCTGTTTGCAACATATAGGTATGTGCGTATTGTTTGTTTCTCTGCATTTTTCCTATACAATGATTGCCGGTCTGCAGTGAATTGCAATTTAGAGATTTGAGCGTCAAAACTTCAATGCACAACTTTAACTGGTGCGTAATCTACGTGGGAATGCCCATGTTGCGGCACGTGAAAACTTCCTGGCCATTCCTGCTTAGCGGGGTTGGTCCCGATGCAATATGCTATCTCATATAGCTAGCTTCACATAGAGAAATGTAGCTAACAGCTTTTTGTCTCATTACCAGTTCCTTGATCAAATAAACCCATGACTAAATCACTGACTGATTCACGTACGTCAAAGATTACTATTAAATAGAAACAATTCCAATACACAAGGCAGCCTTGAAAAATCTCGTGAGACACCGTCGCTGGATAGTAGTTCGTTCATATACGTTAAACGCTAACTTAAATGCATTAAGAGAGACTTAATACATTCGAAACAATGTCTTCTTCCGGGATCTATCAGGTTTTACGCTGCGTTAATAATGCTGTCAGTCTTCTCTCAACGCAATCTAATCGCGTTCGAAAATCTAGCCACTTTCCTTTAAACGCTCATACTCAACCTAAACGTGCAACAACTACAGGGGCAAGAAAAGCTCGAGTGCGGGGTTCCCTCTCTCCAAACGACCTAATATACCACAGTTATAACGTATCGTTTTTTCATAATAGGTTACTATGCAATTTACGCAAACGCATGCGCTTGCACTTCAATAGATTCCTTCGATGAGGAATAGTATAATATCGTAAATAGTTGGCTGAATAAACTATATTATAACATCCATCGAAGCGACACCGCTTAGGAGAATAACATCAATATTTCGGATCGGATATAATTAAGGCGAACGAATCCTCGTACCATTGCGGCTCTATATTATGACGTTTCAAATGCTTCAAGATTGATAGCCGATTTCCTTCGTCAAAATATGTCCTAGTTCTATACTTCGCTCTTGAGGTGAAAAATTTCGCGAGGGTCAAATTCTAAATGTAGCCCGCACGTCTAAAGTTCTATGACAACCGCCGAAAATTTCTAGACCAGAATTAGTTCGAATTATGGTTGACCTCAATTCCATTCCAAGGGAACACTTTCATATGTTGTGTAGAAAAGTATGAAGGCTGGCTCCGTTCACGGTGTTGGCTTAGTGCCAATTGCGTGATTTAATAACAACCCGGGTCGAATAGCAGTATCTGTTTTGCATGCTTGAGACCAAATTTACAGCACGCTTAACCCGCGAATGACCTCTTTTTACTTGCCCGTCACGCAGTGGAGTCTTTGCGCGACGACTGACTCAAACTGAATATTGATCCTTGATAAGAATAGGCCGTACAGGGTATTCGAGTCATGGATTTTTGTAACTCTGCGATTTTACAAAAAGGAAATGAAACGGAGGAATCCTCGTGGCAAAGTTACAAAGATAACAACTTCACAGTATTGTGAGAATCTCCTCAGGGGGCGAGTAATTATCTGATCTCTTTAACAGCTGCGCCTTTTTAGTCTTCAAAAGATGTTCTATTATTTTTTTTATCATTTATAATTTCAATTAATTGTGAAGTGCTTCAAGCATTTCAAACAGAGACGTCTGGCAGCCCTTATAAAATTAGTTGAAAGTCCAAATCTGCCCAAATTACTATATTACAGCACACTTAGTCATTTCTTTTAGCAGGTGAGTTTCTTACACCAAAACTTTAAAAGCCAGGACATATTTCTATTTCGTCAAGCGAATCCTTAATCTTTCAGCTTTTTTTGGACTACTAGGTCAAATATCTACGTTTGCGGTGCTCAGTCATATCGCTTATATTGATTAGTGTTCTTGGATAAAGGCTGATTCCTGGGCCTGATTCTTGGCGTATGTGTGTCGAAAGGATACCTCTAGAGCTTCACTTTGATGTCAACCTCTCTGATATCTTTAGCATTATATAAAAAAGTAAGTTATCACAGACTTTCTTCATATAACATTAACATTTTGCTACAAGTATTAGCCACAAACCTAAAAGGCAACGTAACAATTCATCCAATAAAAAATTAGTACTTTTGCTGGATGGTAATAAAATCACAATGACCTGACGACCAACGACGAAAAACAGACTTGATCCGAATCGGTCTTCCCTCAGCACTGTGGTGTGATACCGAAGCGAGAAGACCATACTGATGGCACTTTTAGATTTAACTTTATATGAAGCTCAAACTAATTAATTAGTTCAAGGTGGTCTGTAAGAGGGTCCGTTTCAATAGTCTTCGCACTATATCATTATTTATAAGCCAACAGTATAACACCCAAAAACATGTCGGTAAGATTTTTTCATATTTTTAGTTTATGTCGGAGAAAATCGACTCGATTCCTTATTACAGTATCCATGTGCTATTGTGCTAATGACGTGTACTCTAATGGGGTTCAGGTCCGAACCTGGACCCCATTAGCGTCCAGGGTGTATGTCGGTCATAATTTACGTTTCCTGTAGTCGTCTATGCTGAGCGTTCGAGATAAGTCAAATGAACTTCTCCTGAACCTTTTAATTTCAGATCTACGCATTCCTCTCTGAAATCGGCGCGCTAACTGGCCGCGACGTATTTTCAATAGGTATGGATTTGCGGCAGCAGTACGCCTCTGAGCATCGCTAGCGAATTTGCGGTCTCTAATTTCTTCTAGCCGATGGCCGTTAGTGGTCATGAAATTTTGAAACCGAAAAGAGCAATGCTCACTGGCAAATTTCTTGGGACCTCATCAGTATTTGAGATGAAGAAATAAGAATCCTTTTCGTACGATCTCCAGGTAATGAAGTGTTAGCTACAGCATTTCGAATTAGGCCGCCACTTCATTGCCCTAAATCAGCCAGATATGACAAGTTGGCATAGATTGATGCAATTAGAATCTGATTACAATTTATTATTCCTATTTACGTCAGTAACTTAGCCAACACGCCTAGCTAGTGACACTAATAACTATCTAACGTATTAAAACCAATAAATCCACATGCTCGTAAAACTTCTAAACACTGTTTATCAAACTTTTACGTTCAACTTATCTGAAAAGATGCATGTCTGCGGATATATTTACGGCCGTATAAGCTGAGCTTCTGTTACGGTTTGGCTGTAGCGAGAATCGAATCAAAATTTTCTCCCTTTGATGCTTCTATTAGAACAGCGGTATGGGAATATAAAAAAAAACGAAAGAGGTTACCAAACCCTAACCATTATAAAAAGTGCCAAATACTTACCAATCATTTAATTTCGAAATGAGCGTCTCGTTCTTGTTCTAAGTTTATATTATTTTGTTACGCACCTAAAGATCGCAGCAGAACAAACAATCACTATACTTTCTTGAAGGTGGCACCTTTTATGGAAAATAAATCCGTTGATGTTATCGCAAGTTATTACAAGATGATCCCATAGTACAATATATCACACAACAATTAGCAGTTTAATTCTACACATGGTAACACTTTCTCTTGAAACCGTGTGGAGCGAAAAGCAAGTTCGATGGGGATGCCAAATCTGTAACGTATCCCTTTACTTGGTAAACACCCGTCACATTGCGCATTCACGTTGTTGTCGAGTAACTAATAGATATTTCGGAGTTATTATTCGGTATTAATAACTACCTGTCAATTTCAACAGACGAAACCTTTCGTTATCTTGAGCCTTACTTAAATTTCTTGAAAAAAAACATAGATCAATTAAATCAAGTTTGAGGTTCATGAACTTCCCGTGCTCTGTACAGCAGACTTCACTCAATAAGTACGACCGTTAATGAACCACAGAAGAATAACATTTTTAGGGGCAGTACTCGAGACAGCTCTTTGTCGTTACCTCGAGATCTCTGCCTGATTATCTGGCCCAGTAAGTAAGCTCTGTCGCCTCCTAAGCTTCAGAGTCAGGGTCGTGCGGAAAGGGCTAGTAACATGGAGAGGGCATTCAAAGGAAAGAGGCAAATTGTTACTGTGCACTTAATCTTTTGCACCACGTGCACTTTTGTTAAATTGGTTCTTTTTCGTGAAATACGCTAATTACGTTCAATCTGTTTATGCGGTGACATAAAAGCTATTCTGTGTAGTTCAATGCATTTTGGGACGACGACAGGGATTATTGCCTTCTGGCGCTGAAATGGCCTTTATGTCTTGATAATAGTGTATAGTTTTCTTCTTGGTTGTTCTATATTCGGGGCATTCAAAGAGATCTAAATACTTGCTATAAGTGACCATCCTGTTTAGTGTCACTGATCAACCTCATATCTCAAAAGACACACAGATAAAAAAAAAGCTCGAAACAAGTACACAAAAGATGACAAACATCTATCATTGCTACTGAAGGCCAACTGCTTATCATTCTTCAACAACGTTATCGTATAATTAATGCGGATGACGTAAAACGTATCGGAACGGTATTTTGTCACTGAAATTTTCTCCCAGACCTTTTGTTATGACATCTTGCGATCTAATTGAGCTAGCGGCTTTTCGTGCGGCTTGTAAAAAATGTAGTTCACAGACTATATTGTAGATAAATTGCGAATAGTGTGCCTTTCACAATAAACCTGAAATTAGTAAGATTAATTATTAAAGTAGAATAGGTGTTACACAGTCTAAAGCGCATGTGAGCTTAGGTACATGTTGTTCTCACACATGTCATCAGCGGGGTTTAATAATTTTCTAGAATAGCAAAAATACGTTTAGTTAGGTATTAATATCTACCTGTTCAAATGGGAAAACCATGGTTACAACTTGAGGCTTGCTACTTAACCTAACCCAACCCAACCCGATTTTGGCAGCGTTCTGAAGAACTCCAAAAGGCAACCTCTAGTGATGCGTTAACTTATCCTAATTTCAACATTTCTACCTATTTCGAAATGTCCAACAACAATATGTATTATCTTCATTAAGATATTGCAGAATTCCCACTACAGAGACTTGATGACGAAGACACTGCCGTAAGGTTTTGCAAAAAGCCATCTCGCACAGCGTGACAATGTGGTTTGATTTTCTGTTATACCAATAATAGGGGACAAAAATGCTCGTTTATTAAGAACGCACCCATCTAAACTAAAATGTCGACTAACGAAGACGAGGTGAGTCTATCGCGTTCCATCTACACACAATATTCTTGATTCGGGCAGATTTCCGATCGATTTCGATAAATTGTGTCACAGGTTCTAGCTAACCTGTAAGCTGCATTTTTCCCCCTTTATCTTTAGGTTCAACTGCTCTAGGCTTGTATTTTCAGGACAAAGTATTGCCCCGATTTATACATAAGCTTTCATATACAAGCACGAAGACGCGCCCGCTCGTCCTACAAGGGGCATAAAGCAGGAGTCTGGACCCTAGTTCTCAAGTGGTTTCAAGCCCGCTAGGCAAGAAGAAGCCAACAGAACAGAGAATCCCACTGTGATTCGTGTACGTCAGTCAAAAGCTCGTTAAGATGGAAAGCCAGTTGGGGCACTGCTCTTTGCTGTACTGAAAGCGACTGTTTCGTGGAGTGGATACAAAAGAAAATAGGTTCAACACGAACATCATTTTTGCGGAAGGCCTTAAGCAGTGCTAACGTTCTGAGATGAAAAACAAGAAAAAAATTAACTTGATGACAATTTCATCGTTATCACAGTTACTGCTACAAGACATACAATTAGATGATGAGCATTTGTATTTACCTGAGACATTGATGATCAGTGTAAGCCCTGCAGCCGAAATCTTTAAGAGGTCGTAACCATTAGAGTAAAGAAGTAGAATTTTTGTAGCACGGTTTAAGTTATGATTCTATCATTTAATTTTAATTCACTTGCTGAAGAGCAGTGCGCAAATAATATAGCTCAAGTTACTAAATTGTATACGTTAATATCACTATTATTATTTAATCATCCAAACTTAGGCCAATGACTTAATTGATTCTAACTGATGTGCCTCGTTGATTTCCCGGTACAAACTGTTATTTGTTTTAACTCGAAACGAAACCAAAGATATCAGAACGCTATCTTGAACAAGATCTAAATGAGCATCTATCTCTTGCATCATACTTAGAATGATTCAGCCTTCCTATTGACATTGCATCGTTCTAGCTTGACTCATTGAGAATATTCAAAAATAGTACCATAATGTTGCTTTGTCCTGAACAATTTCAATGGCGTCCCTACAGTCGCTATTTAAAAAAAAACATGGGGTTTTTGAGCAACCTGTGTTCCACGGATATTTGAATCATTACAAAAAGATCTTTGCGTTTTCTTTTTACTACACAATATTAAATTTGTTTCTAATATTACGAAATGGAAAACTGAGTGGTGTTTGCTTTCCCTTTCCTTTGAAAGCATATACTTTTTAGTATCTAAAAACTCAAAAAAGACTCAGAAAGTTGCTTCCAGGGATGCCAATTTAAAATCAAAATTTTGACACGCTGGCGGCGCTTTGCATAAAACTTCGCTATCTATATTCTAATCTTTAAATGTTTTTCCTTCTGTTTTTTTTAAATGAATGTTACTATTAAAATACGTGATTATGGAAAACAATAAATAGAGTACTTGAAAGACTGCATTCAGAGTTGCCAAATGGGCTTGTCTATCATACGATGACACTGTCTGTCACGTGAGTCGCGTACCTCTATCAGATTTGCTGCAGAGAACAGTAAATAATGTATTTTCTATGCATGTTATATTTATTATTACGAAACGATTATGATTACGGTTTCGACTCTGTTCCAGTCAACACATAGATAAATAGATAGATAGATAAATACATGTCAATACATAGATAAAAATAGAAACGGACAATGCTGAACAAACTTTTGTCGAAAAATTTAGAAAAAAAAGTACTTAAAAAAATAAAAGAATACAGTAGAAAAGCCTATTTTTTAACGTTTTTTTTTTTTATAGTCTGCTAGATTTTATTGTGGTGATGAAAATATGTAAAAGTTAGATCCGTCATCGGACTATTACTATCTGATATTATGATTGGCAATTGCAATTTTTTCCGAGTACGCTCAGTTATTAATTTATTCAATAAAGCTTGTTATTTCTCGTCCATTTTAACCCTATTTATTTCTGAAAGTGCGTGAGGCCAATAATCTGTAGACCAGTCCACTGTCACAAGTCTGAAGGAGCTGACTTTATTATTCTGATATTGCTTTAAATTACATTTTTTATTCTCTGCGTTTTCCTTTCAGCTGACGGCTGTTTCTTTTGCAGCGGAAACTTGTGGTTCGATTGTGGTTCACTTGTTTTAACCTTTTATACGTCTTAATAAATAAAGTGTAAGTAAATAAAGTGTTTTTGCAGCTCAATTATTTTAAATGCAAACACGAAAGACATGTAACAGTGTGGCATCGATTACACGTGTTTTTGAAACTATTTGTTTTGGGAAAAGTATACCTCGGTGAATATTTATAAAAGTGATATAGAGTTTAGTTTGAAAGTCCGGAATCTAAAGTCATTTGGAAGGATACATGTTAGTGTATGTGTGTGTGTCCCACATAGCTCTATGGGGCTACGCATAAATCAATGTCTAAAGTTTATTAAAACTGACCTTATTTTCATGTTGAAGAGAACGGTCATTGCGGACAAAAGTTCGCTTTCGCAAATTTTGACAAAGTTCCGAAATGTTGAGCTGATAATACATTTCGCCATATTGAGGTACTTAACTTAATAACGTATTTTCCGTGCTTAAGTTTCACCCCTCATACTTTTGTCTTTGTACAAGTATTATGTTCAATGTATAACTTCTTGCTTGTCGCAGTTTCACATAAAACATCGCTTACTTCGCGTAGCACCTTCGGGGTAGATTTTATTCTTTGTCTTAGTTAAGTCTTTTTTTTAAGGAGTTTAACTCTTTGTACATGCACAATTCCGATCTAACGTTTTTTGGAAATGTCGCGCGAGCAGGTTAGTTTTTTTTAAAGTTTTGCCTTAGATTGTGTGCTTTTGTTATTTTTAGACGCAATGATTAAGTACAATTAAAGCCGCGTATATTGTTTATTACTACATAGGCAGCATGTCAATTAATTGTTTCATCGGGAATATTTGTATACTTTAAGCAGGTATATCTATTTGGATGCTCTAATTCTTGATTATTAAATATTGCTAGTAATCATCATAATTATTAATACGCTAAAACAGTGTTATTAAGTAATGTTTCACTGTAAAATTGACCAGTTTTTTTCTTTCCTCCACGGCAATTGGACATAACACTAGCCGCGTCAAAACGATTGAATGCATTGCTGCATTAGCATTCTGCCGCGTGATATGAACCTTCTGCAGAAACCGAGAGAGACAAAGAACTTGGTGGGAAGCTCGATGACTCCCTACATGGAGGAAGTTCAATAGCATAACTTGTCAATAAATCTCCATAGCGTCGTCTGTCAGAAGTGCTTATCGAGGCCGGTAACTGATCCGCAATAGGTTTTTTTTTAACATGTCTTTACAAATGAGACCTGGCGAGTATACTGACGGGACTGTGCCTGCGGTTAGTGTTCTTAAAACGTTTACGCAAGTTTCATTTGCATAATTGTTTCAATCAATTATATCAGCGCGTGTCACTCAGACACAAAAATACGGAGTGTGACAGGTGTTTTTTTGTGAATTTTTTTGCCATAATTGTGGAAGTGTGATAGCAATTGAATTGGAGATACTATCAGCGATGGACGTCTTTATGGTTATATGTCCCTAAGCTTCTGAATAAACTAGTGACCGCATGGCAGAGACAACTTCCATGCAAGATGGTAATATGCGTGTGATTAATCCATTGAGTTCTATACAACAGCCAGAATATCTGAAGTACATTTTTGTTCAAATTAGGTAATTTGAAAGTAACTTGAAAGGAGCTCTGCGGTGTAGAGAAAATTAATCTGTACTAGCAGGTACGTGGACTGCAGGATAAGTAATGTGTGCGAAGAAATCTATTCCTCTCCAATCTGACAATATTCTTGTCAATGTTTCTAAGACCTGCTTTAGCGTAATGGGTTAGAGCCAGTGTCTATTGTATCTTTTGTATCCAAAATTGTCAGAAGAAATCAAAATTCAGGGCTTGTAAGGCAGTAAGTGTGCTCACTGGAGATTCATATGAATCTTTTTAATTTCTTTTTCAATCAAGTTTCGTATAAATTTAATTGAATATGAGTAGTGATAGCTGAGTGATTGAGGCAGAGGACTTTTGTTCGTGTTGCTCATTGCCATCTGAAAACGAAATCCCTAAATATTTTTCACAGCAGGTATTTGTCCGGACGACAATAGGAAGTCTGCGTTGTACGTATTTTTAATATCAATCTTCAGTCAGTGTGTAGTATAACCGTGCGTCTTCTGGTATGTAGTGTTTTATTAAGCATACGTAAACTGATGTCATTTCTCTTTTTGGCTACATATAAAAATAGCTTCTGGGTAAGCCATAAGATACATTTAATGATTCCTAGTAAATTTCCAACCTTCGCGGTCGAATTCCACACTCAAAAATATGGATTCATCATCTCATAATTAAGGTTACGAATATTCATGAATATTTACCACCAGCATTTTGCTTACAAGTCCTAGCTACTGGATCTAGCAATTTTACAACTATTCTAAAACGTTTAACCTCTTCATAATTTTCGATAAGTGCCGTAGTTAGGTATGGACCTCCTACGAGAATGCAATGCTTATGTGTTTTATCATGCTATTATTTCGAATTTTCGGTTGGAGTAGTGTCACAATCTCGGAGTTCAGCGCGTCGTGGCGGGATCCTACCGACAAGTCGTTAGACTTTCAAACAGTAATTGCAGATTCTGATCTTACTTTACAAAAAAAATCTCGGTCAGAGGATCTGTCTTCGTGGTGTCAGTGGTCGTTCTATTGCCATTAACCGTAATGCAGGGTCATGACGGTGGTTACTAGTGTCGTGCGCCGATCGATAGATGTCGCTTTCAAGCTACGACGCACAGAAGGCTAAGACCACGGATTGGTAAAGAGCGATTCTTGCGTACAGTTCGGACCGAGACGATTCGCTCCACTGTGGTTACTGCAATCGGTGGAAGTTTGACTCAGATTAGTTTATGTATCGTTTGTGGTAACACAGTGGTAATATTTTTACGTAGTAAACCCTGTCTTAGTTTCATGTTAAAGTCAGCTCTCTAAAGCCGAGCTTAACGGCAATACCGGATATGACACATTTGGTTAGCGTTCGTGTTTTGGCTGTCTACTAAATTTAGGAACGATTTTTTTCTTCTGTTTTCAGATGAGAGAGATAAGGCTGACACCAAAAGAAAAACTAGAGATATGTTCTAGCGTAGGTGTCAAGTTTGGTGAAGTACTTTGGACTCGTTTACGTGATGTAATTGAGAAGTCCGGCACAGATTGGGTCACCCCGGATGAATATGTGGCCTATTTCAATCAAGAAAACAAACGATTGAACTATCGAAACCTTGACACAAATAACGTCCCGTTAATGAAATATTTTACCGCCCTAGACAATATCTTTCACGTGAAAATTGTCCAGTTCCCCGATTCCAGTGAAGTCCGTCTGTACCTCGTGCCAGATTTTCACACACGCACAGCGCGAACCTGGATACCAAAGAAAAGTGATTCACAGAGTAAGGCACTGCCGGATCTCAATGGTCAACCATTCCTGAAGAATCCAAACACAAAATCACACGGTCAACGATTAGTACCAATTCGTAAAATATACCAGGATACTGCGCTAAAAAATGTCGTTAGAGAATTCAATATAGGCTTGGGTTTTCAAGGTGCAATAAGCTGCCAGGATTATTTACAACAGCTTGATGAAAAGTATCCGGGTGTTAAAGGTGCGATGGAGCTGAGATCTGCAATCGCAGATCTTGACCTTATCGATAATTACGTAATAAGCGTCGCCGATGCAAAATGTCCCGTAGTACGGATTTCAACCGAATTACTAAGAGTAGGTCATCCAACGATCGCCCCTACATATGTAGAAAAATATCCTTACTGTACTGTATTTCCTGAGCCTAATGAGCGTAGGCCACAACAGCCATCCGATGAGAAGGTCTTCATTGCCGAAGTCAATGAAATAGATATAGTTCCAAGACATATGCGTATGTTTATCACAATTATTGATAGAATAGGTGAGCGCGATAGGTTGCAAAAAAAACTTCAAAGCACCTACGGCCGAAATAAGAACCAAACAATTCCTCTTAACCAGTTACGCAAAGGTCTACCTTGCGCTGTTCCATTCGAAGGCACTCAGGATTTTCACCGTGCCGTTATTCTGCGACCGGTAGTCAGTCGTCTCGTGCAGGTCTTATACGTAGATTTCGGCACTGTCGCAGACGTGGTTAGCGAGTCGCTTATTTTTCTGGATGAGGATTTCTACAAGGTTCCAGTTCTAGCCGAGCCTGCTGTACTTAGTTTCGCAGTGCCTTGGAAAGATAGACGTGGGGTAGCAGACAAGATACTTAAACAATCTTCAGTCAAAATGATTGTGTTGGGTTGGAGCGAAGAACAGAATTCCATAATTGTTCAAGTCAGTGACCTGGCTTCGTACCCGATGAAATTACGCAGTGAACTGCGTGCGGCTTGAAGTGACGGGACAATTAAACAACTTCAGAGCAGAGTAAGGTAAACCGGTATTCTAGTAATGACAATGTAGTAGAGTAATGGCTGTCGGAGCAAGATACTTCCTATATTTAATAATAAAAATGTCCTTCATCTCAGTGTATGCTTCTGTGGGTCACGTTGAATGTTAGGGTAAGTGACAAGCGGAGAAGGCTAAAACCGTAAAAAAACGAACTACGCTTAAGAAAAACTAGATTTGGTATCCATGGTGTTCCTTCGTGTGTTTTGGTTTCTCATAGAGGCCCTTATTATGGAAGGTGATGGTCGTCTTAAAGGGCGTTGCATGCTCATGTCTCGCTTCCTTCTTTTCCAGGGACTACCACCTAATATCATAGCCTGAACCATACACTAATTAATTTTCAGAAGGATGTAACTACATGTTTATAGTTCTTCTCCGCATATCGGCAGTCAAGTTTTCTGGCCTAGCATTCATGTAACATCAAGTAATTCATAACAACCACTCACGTAATTAATATTTTTCGCACAATCATTGAACTAGAGCTTTTAGAAAACCTCATACTGTAAAAATAAGTTTTTGCTGGCAACTATCAAAAAAGCCATACGCACCGTACAATTCGTTGAGAGTGAATAAAACAAAGCAAGATCCTATTATGTAGCCCAGTGCGAGCTGAGGACACCACAATCACGTATGACGAAAATGTAAGCAAATAAATATAAGCAGGATTTCGGAATTCTCACGCAATGGCAGTTATAAGGCCAAGGCGAGATATAGCGAATACTATTCTCTGGTAAGTGTTTAATGCATAGTGTGCAGCAGTATGCAGAATCAGGTGTGCAAACTATATTACTGTACAAATGACATAATCACTATCGAGTCTGTTATGGAATACACAAGCGATAGAAAAAAAAACTGCATGTGATTTACTCCGATCGTGCGGGCGGAAACTTCAGGGAAACCACTATTGTCGAAATCAAGAAAAACTCTATTATGCATCAAGTTCATCACGAAAACGAACGCTATTATGTTAAGTTTGCTTTTCTGTGAGCTTAGCTTTTAAGTTATTTTATATCTATGGAAGCTTTTTTCTGAAATCCGAAATATTGCCATCATATACGGCGCACACTATATGTAGTTGCGCTGAGAGAATGTTCACTGGCATGTGTTTCAGTGTATGTGACATTCGTAATTTAGATATTTTTGGATATCGCAGTAGTCCCGTGAGCGCGCGCCCGCTAACATCCAGATGTCGCCCAAGACGAATCATTTACAGCATTATCTGAGTGGAACCCCAATCGCCAAAAAAAAGCTACACAAAGGAAAGGGCTATAGATTTTTCTCTCTATACTAGGGTAGCCTAGGGATCTTCCTTTAGAAAGGCAAATATCTCTGCTCAGTCACAGACGACAACGACGAAATAACAAAACGTAGACTTGAAAAATAGGGATTTACTAAGAAATGTGGCTGGTGAGTTAAGTTCCAGATAGATAAGAAACTATGGAGGAGTAAGCAATAACACAGAACACGAATGCCAGTTAAATTTTCTTTTATCTACTTATAGAACGAATACATGTGCACATAGTTATAATGAAATTGTACAAATTAAGAATAAAGCGTTTGCTAATCAAGTAAAGTACCATTATGGTTATTCTTGAGTTCTGAAGGTTCGGGAAATCTGGCAAGGAAGATGTAGTCTATCAGGCGGCGAAACTAAAAACAAGGACTTTCACATGCGTTTATCTTCGTGATATCGATCACCAGTTCAAACGGGCATTTCAAGGGTAAAATTCTGCATGTACCACGAATGGCGAATAACTGTTCTCCTTCACCGTACGTTATGGCTTGCAAAAGCGGTAGGTTAACAAAATTGCGCTAATTTACACATAGTATCAAGGGTATGCGCATTTATACAATTTGCGTTACATAGATTACATACAGTTATAGATAGCTATAAAATCCTAGATCTCCAATCTCAGAAACATCTTTGATGTCTTTGGAATATTCTCTATTTTTGAGGACTTATAGACAAGGATCGCTGTTGTTATTTTTTTGGTCAGGAATGCAAAAACTAAGGTGAGGGCTCCAGCATAGATATTCTTAAAAAAAATGTGGTTAAACAATAAGACAGTTTGGAATCTTGGATTATCAAAACACCATGTCCAGAAATTGTAGAAAAATTAACAACATAAAAAGCATTTCCTCATTTTATTACGATACAAACTTTTATTGTACCATTGTGGCTGATGTATGTTTAAGAGCAATTTCGCCTGTGTTTGCCTGTTTATTTATGAAGTTTATAACGAACTATATGGTAGTTCTTTGCATTTTTATTTTTCTGTGTATCTGCACATCTCTGCACGCATCTGTGTATCATATGTATCTGCACAACCGCGTACGCTCAGTCTTTCTCACTGCTTTTGAGAATCACAATATATGTTTAGATGATCGAGTGCAGCCAGCCTCCTCAAGACGTGTTGGACTTCGTTATATTTCCTGCCGTTTAGATAAAGGAAGTTGGTTCATTCTCTAATGCAATAATAGTGTTACAGCGTCCATACTTAAACGTTCGGCCGCAGTGGCTACGACCCTCCAGATCGATAATGTTTGCGCTGTCATGTTCAATTTTCATGATAGCGGGCTGAACCCCAATAACATACGCTGTGCTTTAGACATCATCGAGCGTCCACCTACTATCGAATTTCATTTTCTAAAACTAAAAACATCACGAGAGATCATTACAGAGAATGAGCAATGATATCGCAATGAATAGTTATTGTGTCTGCGTGTAGTGGTTCTAGTGTTCGTTCAGTCTGACCACTTCCCATACACACCTCTCAGCTACGATGTTTATGAAGCTTATGTTAAGCCTTCCTCGGTGGGTTGAATAGTTCTCACTTCTTAGCTATTGCTGCTGCTGCTGCCGCTGCCGGAGGAGCAGCTACGGGCACGTACCCTGGATAATATCCGGGGTAGCCGTAGCGGTAGGCCCATGGGCCGAATGCAAAAGGTCCGCCCCAGAGGTACGGCGAGGTTGCTAACGCGAGAAGAGCTAACGCACCGATTGTATGGTACGAGAACCTATCGTAGAAAGCACCAACACGAAATAGCACGAAGATGTTGAAATATAAGGGCTAAAATCTATTTCGCATAACGAAAACGTCCTTGATCATAACATCTAGAGAGCCTGCGGACGCGAAATCACAGAATTAAATGGCAGATTCACGCATGGTAGCTGCAATTTGATGTAATTGACAAACCCAACAATCTGAACAATCAGTGTTAGCTTCAGCCACCACTTCACTTCCTCATTTCTATAATGCGTATATACTTATTGAAAAACTACGTTCTACGTTATATGGTAAGTGAACATTCAGATGAATGAAACTGTTCGATCATAATAACCATGCTTAATAAACTAACCTCTTCTGACGAGGACGGCTAAGGTCGCCGAAAGATTCATAATTAGAAAAATCGTCATAGGCCCCTGTTCGTTTGTCAGGATGTCCTGGATGCGGAAGCACATCTCGGCGTGCACGTGACGACAGTATGGAAACAGGCTGAGCAGAAGGTTCAACCCTGGTGTTCACCACCGAAGTTAATGCTTCTCTATTGGTGCGGATGGATAGCTGTCCAATTAAAAGAACCATACAATGAAGCAATTACGAGAGAATCGGTTCAACAATGAAGTCAAATCGAAAGATCTCGCTACGAACAAATGTTTGCCGTGATGTATACAGCAGTCTCTTAATTAGCACATGATAGTTATTTTTTACACTGTCCTAAAAAGGAATTATGTCTACCCATAGTTGTCCGGTTAGGGGTTTGGCTGAGAAAAAACAGTTATGATAAGCAAAATAACTGGACAGCCCAAATATTACTTATAGTAAGATGTGCGATTGTTCTTTTGCTGTTCGTACTATTTTTAAAATAATTCAAGGATAGTGGGCCCTTACCTTGTCCATAGCTACGGAAATAATGCGGAGAGATTGCAGTGAAAGCTGGTGTTCAGTTACGAGAAGCTTAAGAATGTTGGCTAAATCCCGGACCGATTTGTCAATCGGCGCTTTGTCAAAGCTTTTCATAGCGGCTGCTATCTTTTCGTCAGCGACATTCGGATTAGAAAATATTTCCTGCAGAAGGTCGAGTTGCTTCAGGTCGGGGGTACGAAGTTCTGCGGCCGGCTCCTCGGCCAATGCTACGTGTGCGGGTTTTGTTCGGTGAGGGATTCCACGTAGGGATTGCAAAAAAGCGTTGCAAACGTTTTTTGTATTTGCAGGATTTATCAAAGAGAGCATCATCTGTCGTGTGTTAGTTAAAGCTTCTATTTATATATGCCATAAAGGACGAGGTGTAAATGCAAGAAATCATCTCATTCGATAAACATTGAATAAACTTTTTTGTGACTTTTTCACTGAATTTATGAGAGAACCTTAACATGAAACATATAAGAACAAATGCGTGCTACATTAAGAATGAAACTGGTAAAACTAATAGTCTTAGCTTTTGGAGATTGGCGATATTCAAGATCTCTGCTAAACCGATGTATTTCAAAGATATATTATAATTATAGTTAATTACTCATATATCATATGCAGTTATACTTAAATAAACGGTCATCCATGTAGCGTGTAACGGTGACGCTAATATTTTCAGGATTTCTAGTAATCTCATTACTCTATCATCCGGGTTTGCCTTTTGGTCTAGATTATGCCTGATAAAGTTTTAAAGGTAGGTATTAATTAGTCGATTATTTAGCCTAATTTAGCTTGTTAATTTGCTCTAGTCACACACTGATTCTCAATTACATGGCAGCAAGTCAGCGCTTAGGCTGTATTCTAAAGCCAGTTAACCATGTAGAATTTTCTGTTCATCAACGATATTACTGTTTCGTTAGTCACTTGCTGCTTAATTGTATTCGCTAACGCGTCCGTGATAGCTTCTTCTAGCGCTTTTCCTTCTTCCATATTTTTATTGTTTCCGCTCATCTCTGGTTAAGTTCCCCGACTTATGCCAGGGTTCATGCTTCTATCCATTTCGTTGTTGATCAGGTCCATGGCTGGCACATCGGCTGCGAATGATTCATTTGCTCCCATAGGTTGTGATAGATCTACAGGTTCTGTGGCTTCTGTAACCGTTGGAGCAGGATCCGTTCGTTGTGATTTCATTGTAGCCACATCAATATCCTCCGGCGTCCGTGTCGTGAACTTTGGTTGAGATGCGGGTACGAGCGGTGGTGCCAAAGGTGAACTTGGACGGGTTCGCGTTGTCAACGTGCTACTTGCGGGGTAGTGCATCACCTGAGTGATCATCGAGTAGGGCACATAGCTATAGGCGTGTTGCCCAGGCATCATGGCCGTGGTCAGGACGAACGGCATCGAAATACTGATCGGAACGCCGGTGACAGGGATATGCCAAATGCTGCTATACTGCGGAGAATGATACTGTTGGTGGGTTTTCACTCCGTTCGGGTAAGGTCGCGCCATGATTCCGGCGGCGGTCAGCTGTAGTTGGTCCTGCACGGCCGCCGGCATGTAGGTTGGGTACGCGTGACCATCTGCGGCGAAGGGATTAAGGGCTCGGAACTCAACTCACTGTGTTCACAAAGTGATACTAATCTCACAGCTTGCGGAATTAATTTCTTCAGTATCGATATTTCGTTTTTTATTTCAAGTGTGTTTGGTCCATCTTAAGATTTGATTGATAGAACAACAACAACGGCAACGTCAACTTCCATTACTAACTAATCATACCAGCGGAACAGTTGCTCTCCAAACACGTAGTAAGAGGACAGCGAAGTCCACTAACTGTGGCTCTAGAAACGGGCCAAGATGAAAGGCATATAATGGTGCTGACAGCCGTGGATATATAATGAGTGCGTTTATGCTGCACGCTTAGACGTAGAAAGATGTAAAGGTCATTATTTGGTGAGTGGGTAATAATGCCATATCTGCAACAAATGCGATGGCGCGGGGTTAAATTGTTCGATATAACTAGCAGGGTGAAAGAGCGCTAATTCCGAGACTTACGGAAGTTACTCGCACTCAAAGCCAAGATCAACTTACCGATGCACTGGAATGCGATAGCCGTTAGGCCGAGCAAAACGAACGAGAACTTCATCGTTTACACTTATACGGGGACCACTCGCTGAACGAGTTTGCGGTCCCGTGGCGGTACGTGACTGATGCAAACGTTCGCTGCCTTTGTTAAAGGGTCTTTGTGGTTTCGAATGACTTGATCTGTCCCTCTGTGATTTGGTATCCTCTGGTAATAACGATACTGTGACCAGTTTCCCTGTGGTTTTATACGAGTAGCCCAGCTATCGTCCACCCTCTCTTACGTTCGAACCCATAGGGACTACTATCATCATGTCAAGTGCGGTGGTCTGCCCATAGTCCTTATTCAGCTTTACATATAATAATATTAATAATAACACTGCTAGCTGCAGTAGCATCAAGGAATAGCACCTCAATCGCAAACATAACAGTCAATAATGCACCATTGGTATTAATGTTAAGATCTTATCTGCTATTCATTTATCAGTGTCATCTGCGAAGATTCAACATGAAGAGAGGATGTTCAGTAGTATTTCATTATTGCTTATAATATGCCCAACACTGTCAATTTACAAGTTCTGCTGGAAGTTTGCCATTATTGATAACGGTCATCCTTATTGTGGGGAGTCGTTCGTGTTTTACCCAATGATATTACATTGGATGAAGAAGCAAATGGCGGCCGGAGCTCATGTAAGTTCTCATTGTAATTCTAATTAAGCAGATTGGCCATAAGTTGGAAAAGAGATATCAAAGAGAAAGAAAAAGTGTTACATGTCGGTAAAAAATGACCTAGTTTCGTTTGTAGCATTGAGAAATAATGAAGTCAACTCTTCCGGCTCGAAAGTTGGTCAAAACGGATTTAACATCTGTTTTTACTATTGCTATGTAAACTTATCTATATAAGTGCCTCACTATTAACTGGGTTTCGAAGATCATAGCGGTGAATGGGTTACGAGAGTCGAAAACACGGCAGAGGTCGAATGTATAATTCAATAAGATGGCTTCAATAAGATTTTGTAGCTTTGCATTTTCCAAAGGGTTATTGAAGAGACAGTATCTTTTTTGTACGTATTTTTAACAATTACTGAATGTCTGCATCTTAGAAAGACGAGCGACGGACGATATCTTACATATATGTTCAATGATAAAGGGAAGCCTCGATAATACTATCAAAAAATATAGCGACTCTTTTCCTCCACACCAATTTACAAACTTTACAATGAACTTCAATATCATATAGAACTGATATCGCCACAACAGATAGAGACCATAAGGCTAGTAGTAGGTTTCATTGTCGTAGATTAGAGATTACCCCTCAGATATCTCATTTTCTCTGCCGTTCATTGCTTGTTTATTCACTTATATTCAGCGCCACATCAGGCTGCCATGATGACGAGTCTGTTGGGTTCGAGACGTTTAATATAAGTTTATAGCTTATTCCTGTTCTTCTGGAGCTGATCTTTATCCTGAGAATATTTAGCTTTTTTTTATTGAATGAGATTTTTAGAATTTTGAGAATGAGAGTCTTTTGAAGAACTAATGATATAAAGCACACATCGATTTCTTGTTTAGGTACGTATTTTAGTTAGCGAATTAGCTGATTCAATAATTTCAGTAAACGTTTTCTTCTGTTGATTTAGCCTACTTTTAGACGGTACCGGCTCATAACTTAAAACACTCAGCCAGTTTTTCTAGTCACGGGTTCGCTCAGCGTCAGTATGACGGTTGTGATATCAAGGGATTCAATAACTTCGCTTGACTAATACATATCGATTTATTAGCGTTATATTAAATTAAGATAAAGTTATGTTAATACAATTTCGATAACAGAATTTTATCGTTATACAATACAAGCTTTCGCAAAGACAATATACCATTCTTTCTAGGACCTTGTTCTTTGAATATGCTTTTCAAACGGGCTTCTTTCGTTTATTTACACGTAGAGCTATGTCCAGGGTCCACACAAATAGCATGGGATACAGAAATATCGATGTTCTGGCTTTTCCGTTGCTAAACACCTGGATATGAATTTTTTTTCTGTTTTGGAATATAATAAAATGTTATTGAATAAATACCTATTAATTCAAAACATGACTATTTAGCGTGCGTTCGCTTATGCTTTTATTTATTTTTCCATGTAGCACATACTATTAAATTTTCAACAGATGCTGTAAACGAATTCATGTGCCAGTCCAGCCAACAAACGAACTAAAATAAGTATACTTATGGATCAGTACCTATTCCTGTTTCGGTAAAAAACTAGAGGGTTTCGTTCCAATTTTAATCTACAGATGGGACCCCGCAGCGACTTAGGTATGCCATGGCAATCGTATGTTAGGCGAAGAGACAACTTCAACGAAATAACCATTATTGCAGTTGGATATATAGCTCTTACCCTTTTCCCAGTAATAAATTAACAAATGTCTCGTATTAAAAACGAAAAAAGCTACCGACTAAGGTGCGGGTAAATTTGAATGGTGAATACACATAGATATAGCAACGGTCGAACCTTGGACAAGGGTAAAAGAAATTATTTTGGAAAATATCTATTCTAGAGCGTAGGTATTTAAATAATTAGTCGCTTAAGTTAAAATAATTATTAAATGACTTGAGGTTTCAGATCCCGTTTGAAAAGCATCAGGAATGGTAACAAGTTTAATAATTTAATTGCACCGCAGGACTTATAAACTGACTAACATGGAACCGTGTTAGGAAGTTTTTGTGGATACATTTTTCTTCATTTCTTGTGCTTTTTTAACTCAAATGCTTTTTAGCAACCTACTATTGTTGAAATTTGAATTAACTATGAATACTCATAATATAAATTTTGAACCAAGCATGTACTAGTAAAACCTATCCAATATGTCCTCGTTTGCATTTACATAGAAATTTTGAAAAGAAATACCGATAGATTTTTAGATTTTATAGATGGGCTTAACTGGCCTGATCTTTTATAGATTTCTAAGCTGCGAGATTTTAAGATCGCTACTCCACGATTAAATGGCTATATTCTGAGAATGAAATGCCTTTGCATGAAGCGTCTACAAACCGCTAGTCTAAGCACAACTACGTTAATCACACGCCGAAAGCCGCGAAGAGTAAGTGGAAGCTTACGTTGCAAGGTGTCAGGTTCGATATGAAGTACTATTATATATGGCATGCTTCTTTTTATCGGTTATTGGCTATCCGGTTTGCTGCATTAGTGAGATATGAGCCCATGATGCCTGTGCTCCCTATGTGCGGAGAGCCGCGAAAAAGGGACTGTTTGTTGAACTAGCTACGGCCATAGCCACTAGCCACGTCTTGCCGATTTGTTATGCCATTACGCCGTACGAAATCTCTGGCTAAACGTGTTGTATGTTCTGCCGCTGTCAATGACATTGAGATTTTGGTATCCGCTAGCCCTTATGGGTACAGCTACTCTTGGGGATGTGCATCATCGATGATCGAATTCTGGTTCAGGGTAGTGCGGGAGAAAAATTACAATCGAAACTATCACTTGGGCGCGTTCTCGTCTTTACGTTACAGGTTAGTGCGAAAGCGAATGCGGGATTACTCATTATTGCGATTCTACACTATATAGTATATAAAATAATTGTAAGTCATGGCCGTGCATGTTACTAACCAAAATTCGATTCTATTATTGCAAAACGTCGAACATCTAAATTTAAGACTATCCAAATCCCTTGGCGGTTTGCGACGACATGGTCATCACACTAATGGGCTTGGAATTTTCGATGTATTTTGAGTGGCGGTCCGCACATTGACTGGGCAAGTCTGAATAAGCTTCTACTACCCCGTAATATCTTTTTAGTTTAAAGTCATAGAGATAATACGTTAAGGATTCATAAAATGTTTGTACAACGTGCACTTATATAGAATATACTTGCATTGGAATCAGCCAATGGCAAACCGTTTTATCCGACCTCGATTGTCAAGCTTGAACTAAGGACACGTCAAGGTTATAAATCGCCTGAGCATTTGTACAGTTCGTCTCTACATATCTAGGCACCACACCACCTAGTAGGCACCACATAGTTTGAAATAAAAATTAAATGTTGCTAGTTGACTTTATAAAATACACAGGTATCGTTTTTGTTTTATTTTTCTTTGCCTCTGATAATTGATTATACTACAGTTTTGTGCAGCCTCCTTCTGTAATCTAGTGTGAATAATAATGAATTAATGACTTTTATTTTTGGAAATATTACTGCCAATATTATTAGTTGTTCATTTTGTTTTTCATTTCTTTTTATAATCGATATACCCTCTAAATCACCGATATCAAATTCATCAAGAAAATTATTGCCCTTATATAGATTCGTGCTACTCATGAAAGCAGCTATATATACGCCACGTAATCCAAGAATCAAAACTATAGGCTATAACGATATAAAGGAAACCTAAAAAGGAGATATCATTAAACGTGCTTTTATCCCGTATACACGCTTTGATTATTCTATCTAAAGACAAATAAAGAAAAAAGTACTAACTTAGCATTGGATATCCACCACCAATACCATCACAATGTTCCGAATCACCATATATAGACACCCCTTTAATGTTTCATAATTTACTCTTTCCTGACTTCTGATTCACTAGAAAATGCAGCAATTCCGTAGCAACATTTTTGTGATTTGTATATAGACGAAATGAACAATCTTCGAATTGGAAATTAACAAAATAAAAAACCGTGCATACGCTATGGTAATCCGTTTGATCCAAGATCACCTAAACTATTCGTCTTCGTCGATCACCATCACTTCCTCAGGGTTAAGCACAGGTCGAGACTTGTAGTCTTGTTTCATTGTTACTGTTCTCGATAGCGTCGTTAATTGAATACGCTTTTTTACCTTAGGCGTGCCCTCGGTAGTAGGTGTCGTTAGACTGCTGTTTGAAAGAGTGCCATTGCCCTTTGACGAACTGCTGAAGAACTTTTTGATAGACAA